AGCCTCCCCGGTCCTCCCCACTGGGGGCTTGTGCCCCATTCCTCCCTCATATCCTTCCACCTACCCCTCTCTAGCCCCCCTTCCTGATGTCAAATAAAATACACGTATGTTCAAAAATAGAAACTGGGTTTATTGAACAAAACTTGCGGGGGCGGGGAGGGATGAACCTCTGGGGAGACTGGGAAAAGGAGGTGGGAGAGGGGAAGAGAGAGTGTGGGAGCGGGGAGGGGGAAACCTGGGAGGAGGGAGCTCGAAGGGGGAAGCAAGGGGAAGAAGGGGGAGGGGAAGCTCAGGGATCAGGGTTGGAGGTCTTGTCAGACCAACTTGACTTTCATGAAAACCTGCTCCTGGGTTCACATGTGGCCTTTGGTGGCCAGGCTGACAGCTATCCTGCCATAGACGGCTGTGTTCCTCCATCTAGTGCATTAAGTGTCCACACAGCACTTAGTTCAAAATAGCTATTTTGAATTTGGCGTTATACCTCGTAGAATGAGGTTTAACAAATTCGAATTAAGCGCTCCGCTATTTTGAATTAATTTTGAAATAGTAATTTGTATATATAGACGCTATTAAAGTTAATTCGAAATAACTGTTGTTATTTCGAATTAACTTTGCAGTGTAGACATACCCTAATTTATTTATTCAGTCAAGCCTAGAGAGTCCCTGACAGAATTTAGCATCCAGCAGCACATCAAATAATCCAGACTACAACTGAAGCATATCTAAGAGTATGTCTACACAGCAAAGTTATTTTGGAATAATGGCCATTATTCTGACATAACTATTCAAAATAAATTTGAAATAATGGGTGACATCTGTAAACCTCATTCTACGAAGAATAATGCCTATTCCAAAGTAGCTATTTCGAAATAAGGCTCGTGTAGGCGCTCCACTGCTGCTATTTGGAAATAGTCCTTTGCCAGAGCCATTCTAAGTTATTCCTCCCCAGTGCCTAAATCAAGATAGTGCACCAGGAAGCCTGCCTCAGACTAATTTTGAGGCTTCCCTGCAGTGTAGACATGCTATTTCAAAATCAGATATTCTAGAATAACTATTCTGGAATAGCTAAATTTCAAAACTGATGTGCAGGGTAGACATAGTCTAAATGAGCTATGTTTAAAAGTTTTGTATATATTAAAGATGTAAATGTATAACCTAACCAATAAGCCTGGGCTTAGTGTTAATGTTCATGGTTACATGCAGGCTCCCAACCCGCTCCTGGGGAGCCAGCTGTATCAGAGGCAGCAGCCAGCTTCCTGGGAGCATGACTGCAGGTAGGAGCTGATAATGCACCAGGAGCCAGCATTGGTGTACACCAGCTTCAAGAGAGCCACTGCCGCCCTGCACTACTCCCTCTAATACAGTTGAGTTTTTCAGCAGTTACACGTCTACATAGTTACCCACATTTTTACATCCCTAATATATATAATATAAGAGATAATACTCACTGGATAATTTCATGCTTTTGGTAAACCATGTGAGTGCCCTATACAGATGACACATAGATGTTAAGGCCAGAAGGGATTATTAGATTTTTTTTTCTAACCTCTTGATTAATACAAGCCAGAGAGTTTAATCAAGTTACTCTTGTATTAAGCCCAATAATTTGTATTTGATTAAAGCATATCTTCCAGAAAGGCATCCAATCATTATCTGAAGACTTAAGGAACTGAAGAATCAATCACTTCCCTTGATAGTCTGTTCAAACGGTTAACCACCCACCCTAATAAATAATTGTGCTTTATTTCTAAGTTGAATTTGTCTAGCTTTAGCTGCCTGTAATCGGTTCTTGTATTGCCTTTGTCTGCTAGATTAAAGAGCAATTTAGTACCCATATTTTCTCCCCATGAACCTACATAGCTACCACCAAGTTACCGATTGATTTTCTTTTAAATAAACTGAGCTCCATAAGTCTCTCACTGTAAAGGATTCCTTCCAAAATTCCTTCCACTAAATAAATTTAGTGGCTCTTTTCTGCATGCCCTCCAAGTTTTCAACATCATTTTTAAAATGAGACCACCAGAACAAACTGCAATATTCCAATACCTGTCTCACCAATGCCATTTATAGAGGTAAAATCACCTTCTTACCCATACACATTACTTCCCTACTTATACTACCAAAATTCACATCATCCTTTTTTCCACAGCATTTCATTGGGTAGTCATATTCAGTTTGTCCAATATGACCCTTAAATCTTTTTTCAGTCACTGCTCTTCAGAATATATTCTATGGGGGAATGTAGCTAGTTAGTCTGCTTAATTTGTTCCTCAATGTATAACCTTGGATTTATCTGTATGTATTAAGATACATTTTATTTTAATGGGCCCAGATTACCAAGTGATTCAGACAGTCCTGTCCTTATCATTAATTACTGCTTTGACAATCTTGTGGCACTTGAAATAAACAAACAAACAAACAAACAAACAATGTGGTCAAAAATTTTAGATTTTCTTTTAGCCTACCAATTTAAGTAACAAATAGCTGCTGATCGAGTACCAATCCCTGCAGAACTTCACTACAGATAACCCTAATGTATGTTTCTATGTTGAAAACTTTTGAGGTCTATCAGCCAGTTCTAAACTCATTTAATATGAGCATGATTGATAGTGTACTTTGATTTTCAAAACTGAATGGTGTCCAGTACTAAATGCCTTACAAATTCCTCACAAAAATTTAATTGTGTTACATCTGTGCAGTTACCTTTAGCATCTAAACTTGCAAGCTTATCAAAAATGAAATAAGATTTGACAAAGGAGTACTTAACATCTTTTGGAACTTAGGGTATGTCTACACTACCCCGCTAGTTCAAACTAGCGGGGTAATGTAGGCATACCGTACTTGCAAATGAAGCCCGGGATTTGAATTTCCCGGGCTTCATTTGCATAAGCGGGGAGCCGCCATTTTTAAAACCCCGCTGGTTCGAACCCTGTGC